TTTAAATAAAAGAAATATATTTTGTTACATATAATTTCTTAACTTCAAAAAATATTTGTTAAATTTTAGAAAATATACAATAAATATAAAGAAATATTTTTTTTTAATTTGTCAAATAAGCTGTAAAATTATGAATTTATAAATAAAAAAAAGTAATTTCTTTGATTTAAAATATCTATATATATAAGAATAAACAAATGATTTCTTTACAAGGAGAAAATTAATGTTTTTAAATATAAAATTTGTTTAAATAAATATTTGCTTGTTTTAAAATTAAATAAAATACAAGTAAATCATTTTATAAATCTGAATAAATTATTTTCTAATATTAAAAGTATTTTTTTATGTTTCAAATTAAAGTTTCTTTTATTATCAGAAAAAAATTTATTTAAATTTACAAAATAATTTATTTTACTTACTTTTAAAACATGTAAATATTTTTTAAATATACTTTCTACATACTTTTTAAAACATATATTTTAAAAGAATCTATTCTCTTCTTTTAAATAAATCATATGCTTTCGTATATGGATATACCATATGTACGCAATATAAAGCGTCTCTCAATCAAAGTGATAGTGACGCAGTAGGTAAGGTGAACGACACAAGAATCAGCCCAAGTAACAGACTCACGTTAAAATGACGTAAAAAACTGGTCATAATGGTCGAATGACGTCAAGTGACTAAAGAACGACGTCTTTAAAACGACGTCTTTTATGTGACATCTTAATGACGTTTCTGTATAACGTCTTAAAAACGTATTATTGACGTTTAGAGACGTCATAAAACGTCATTAAGTCGTCTAAAATGTCGTCATCGATCTGTGACATTAGACTATCATTTTGACGATATTCTCACGATATTTTTGATTATTCCTTGGTCATTTTTTATCCTTAACTTACTTAGATTTGGATGTCATTTTGACGTGTCTGCTACCTGGGAGAGATCTCAGGCTCGAATCTCAGCAATGCCCATACAGCACAGAAGCTTGCAGCAACATTGCTACAACGTTGCAAGATTGCATATTGCAGTGCAATGTTGCAGAGACTTTGCAGTGACATTAATTTGCAATATTACTTTAGCAATATTGCAGTAATATTTAAAAAAATATTACGAATATAATATATTTTATTTATTTACTAGTTATTTTTGTTACTTGTATTTCAAATTCAGTAATGTTTTACATCAATAATACTTATAGAATAGTACTTAGAATAGCACTCGTTAGTGGCAATCATTAATTTGTCTTATTGCATATTTTTTATACTTCTTATACCGTTTTTTCGGAGAAAATACTTTCTTTAGATTTAATATTCGTACTTGTTTAATTTTGTGTTTTTTTTTTATTTCATTAAAATATTATATTCTTAAACGGAATATCATTGTTTAAAATGATGAAAATAAAACTTTCATTTCGTTCAAGGAAACCATGTCATTTAATGAAACAAATTATACTATTGTTTTAAATGAATTTAATGAAACAATTACACTATTGTTTTAAATAATATTTTCTAAAAGTTTCCTTCAAAATTTAGTAATTCGATTTGTTTAATTTTGATTTTCGTGGATTTTTTAATTTTCTTTTGTTGGATTAATCATTATAACATTTTGTTAAAAATGTAAAAGTAATTATCACTGGTTCACTACATTACATCAATATTCATCGCATATCGAATGTTGCATTGTTTCAATATCTATCAACAAATTATCCAATAAACAACAAGTAAAAATTATATAACTATTATTTGGTGTTTGCTAGGTATGTTATAATATACTGTGAACACTATAAGGATACATTATATAAGCATGAATTGTAAGAACATCGTTGGAGTCATCAGAGTCACCGCGTGCGCGCTCGATTGTAAGGTTAAGCAACAGTTTAATGCGGTCAGAGGACATGGATGGGTGGTGACCAGCGGTATAATCGCTTGGGATCGAAATTATCGCAGGAGGATTCATGAAAGTTTGGAATGTGTTGACAAACTTCGATATCTAGTAGTACTCTTATAGAAATATCATACTAAGAATCATTGATAATTACTTATTATCCAGTATTTTTAATACTGAAAATAAGTAATTTATCAATGATTCTTAGTATGATATTTCTATAAGGGTAGTTTATGAGACATGAGAAAATTAGGAATATAAGTATATTTTTGTAAACATTATGATTTTCTCATTTTTCACCTTCGCATAATAATTCTCAGTATTTGATTACTATCAATATTTAACAGTGATTTTATTATCAGTATTCACCAGAAATTAAGTACTGGCCAAAAAATTACTGAATTACTGGTAATATTTAATCACTAATAATATTTCAGTATTTCTTAGTATGATATTTTTACAAGGGTGCTCTAGAATTATTACGTTTTTCGTCATCTAACAAGGAAACGGTCGGGAACGTCCCTTATTAATTTTGATAGACTTTGAAAACATGAAAAACTATTAGACACTTATTTTTTTATATGCTTATCTCGAGGTTTAGGGGTTGAAACCACTTGAAAGAAAGAGACTTTTAAATTTTTTATGAATATATCTTCTAAAATACGAGGCATATAAAAAATGTTTTATACAAAAGTTTTAAAGTATACTCATTGCAATTAAGTTTTAAAGTATATCCATTGTTATATTATACTCATTGCAACAGTATATTTAAATTTTAAAAATATGCCAATTATCTTGCTACTTAGGATTTAATATATTAC